ACATAGTAATGCGTTTTGTACGAAGTGTTCAAAAACTGTTCAATATCTCGGCTCCACACGATTTGCGCGGAATGGGGTGCGGACCAAAAGTTTCTAAATAGCCTTGGGAACCTGTGTGCAAAATTTGTTGCTTTTACCACGATTTGCAAGATTCTTCCGATATTCCGGCTGTGCCTCTTGCACTATAGAGCACGCCTGTACGCTGGTCGACATGTCGGTAAATTATTCAGTACAGAGCTATTTTCTACCTTCCTTTCATCATATAACTTGAAAAGCTCTTTTATTACAATACTGGTCTAGTTTGGAAGTATTAGGTACCTGGATTGGACGATTTTTGTGGATTAGCGCTCTGTCCGCATTCTCGGCATGCAGCAATTTTTCCCTCGGCGTGTCTTGCTTGAGAGTTCTTTGTACTTTACTGTTACTTTCAATCGAGCTAGAACCGCGTTTCAATATTTTTGCTGCTCGGTATTCATAGATAATTACTTCAACCTGCTGGGTAGACGGCTGGGCTCAGCCACTTAACCTACACGATTGTGATGCGCAATGAGCGTCTCATTGATAACATTAAGTTCTTGGGGTCGACGGTAAACCTGAGATGAATGAAGTTGGCATATTATTAGTATGATTTGTGGGATCGTGCGACTCGTCTGCGTTGACCCACTTGTGACTCAGAATATGGCGTGGCTTTGGTGTGCTCGCTTCGTAAATCCAGAGGCTGTCAAATTCTCTTCATGCAAGTCTGGAGTGTGAAACTTAATTTCGATGCCAACCCTTTTTGAAACCCTATACGAATTGAATATCATACATGTAAGATACGGCCGTGGGGAAAAATGAGCGTCGGTAAGATTATGTTTCCTCATCTGATTATTGACCGGTGCGGTTCGCAACTTACGGAATACGGCTTCGGTTTTCCACCCTAGGTTGGTTTGTGGATTGTTCGGGTTCAATTTTAGGGTAATTGTCTACTTTAGTGACTCCTCGCCCTGGAGTCACTCAAGTATACCATCGGAAAGGTATTTTTCAGTAGAATCCTGGACAGTATTTATATATTGGCGCTCGAGTCTGGTTTTCCTCAAAATTAAATATATATGCGTCGCTGCTAACCTTCAGGTGCACTTTGAAGACGGCAGAATAACTTACGTTTACGGCTAGTCCTGACGTTGATCCCTCCTGCTGGGGTTTTGAAATCATTGCTCCTGCATCAAAGACTACGCCTGATTCATAATATCAGGCTTTCTTTTTCTAGCGTTGCTTAGATCACAGTTTTCACACTTCTCCAAAAATGCCTCCTGCTTGGCGTGGTCCTACCCAGAAAGGGGGCCGAGTGCTGTCACGTGCAAAGGCTACGTACCGGTGAGGCTCTCGGGCGGACGGCGGGCTCGATTGCCAACAGCAATGGGCAGTTCAGAGGGGCGCAGGCGCAGGTTATCAGTGGTACCAACAGAATGTAGGAAGATTGTGTCTGCCCGTCCTCCAATGAATTTTCCCTTCTATTTAACTAAACATTGCGTTGTACGTTCCGATAAGTGGCTGTTAGCTTAGCTGCTCGTTTTCGAATAAATTTCCCCGAATAAATTTTCCCTTCTAACCGGCCATCTCCGAATGATTT